CACAACCAGCTCCCATCACTCGGGGCTTCACACACACGACATGCATAGACAAAGCAGCAATGGAGATAAAAGCGAGTCCTTCTTGTACACAAAAAATTTCAATTAGCGGCCGCCCCCAGGCGCCGCCTTTAAAACTTCCCAAGACCACCGACCACCATAGCCACAAGGCCCTGCCACGGCCGACGTCCAATCCCCACCACTGCTCAGTCCCTCCGACTGCGTCGCCCCGAAACTACCACGGGTCCACCCCACGTCGTCACTCCGCCCGTCCTTGGGCTCGTCGAGCCTGTTCGGCGCCGCGGACTTTCGCGCATAGCTCGCGCAGCATTGCAGCCGAGATCAAAGAGAGAGAGAGGAGAGGTTTGCGCGAATTTATAGCACGGGAGGCGGCGGGTTGTCAGCGCGAGGTGCGGGCAGCGCAGGTTGTAGATGAGCAGGACAGGAGGGAGGTGGGGAGTTAGAGGGTTCGACCCGCGGGATGGCATGGTCCTGCGTAATTGGGGTGTCCGTTCAAGTGGTGCGCGGTTCCCCGCTCTCCACATTGATCCGAGCATCCCAACTACGCGGCCAATCACTTCGCGGAGTAAGGATCGAGCTGGGCGGAGGGGAAGACGAAGAGTCCTGCATGGGGCAAACGCGCGCAGCAAGAAGGGAAGATGGCGCGGGGATGCAAAACAAGAAACAGGGGTGCGAGACGCGCGAAGAAGTCGGAGCTTAGGCGCGCGCGCAAAAATTCAAAAAAAAAAGGTTCCAACCGAAACCGTTTCTTGCTTTTCATACCGCGGCTGCTATTCGCCCGCGCGGGAGTTATTAACCAAACAAAATGAAAAAGTCGTTTCAAAAAGAAAACAAAAGCAAAAAGAAGGAAAAACCCCTTTCTGTCCGTGTCCGTACTTCGGGGCTTCCGCAGGATTTTTCCTCGGGGATACGGCAATTTGCACAGTACGGATCTGAGCTTATCACATATGTGATACGTAGGGGGTTCCGAAAAATTAGCAGTCTCCCGACTGCTGGTGTCATCATATCTTGGATAATCGGGCGGCCTCTTCATCGTCAGCTGGCCTGATCATCTTCCTAATCTACGTGGATGCATACTGCATCCTCCATCGCCTCCTCCCATAGTATACATCCGATCGGGCGGCCCCTTCATCATCAGCTGGTCCGATCGGTAAGTAGTTCTCAAATTATTATTATTATTATTATTATTATTATTATTATTATTATTATTATTATTTTTACACAGCGCGTCTCGACGCGTGAACTTTGGAGATAGGAGAAAAAGACGATAAAGAGAAGGAGAAGGAGAAAACAGGGGAGAGGTAGACGGGGGTGATCAGAGGAAGTGATCTATGTCGGGATTGAGAGGGGGCGGAATAGGCGGAAGAAAAGCGGCCATCGCCGCGGGAGTCGTCGACGCATCTTCCTCCTGGAAGTGGTGCTGCACGAACGAGGGATAGAGGAAAGACCTCGACACATGAGACAGGACATGTGGCGCCAGATCCGCCACCGCTCGCACCACCCGCTTGCGCACCGATCGGGGCCCTGGACCCGTCATCACCACATGAGTCTCGGTGTAAGGCCGCCGCTCCCGCTTTTGCGCCGCGAAGACAAGGAAGTGGTACATCGCATTGGGACGCTGCCCGGTCTCGTAGATGAGCATCCCAGCCAATCGCGCCGTAATACACCCTTGAAAAGGGGGTGTCAGATATGGCTCCCATGCCGGATCAGGGCGCGGCGCCCCCGCGATGGCCTCGAGCCTCATGGTGGCGGACTCCACCATGAAGTCCACCTCTGTCGGATGGACTGTCCGACTCGGAGGAACTACTAATGTCAATGACCGGGGCACCCCGGGGTGGCTGGCGGGAGCGGAGAGGTCCTGCGAGGACGGGGGGTCTGGATATGGGATCTGGAAATTCCATTCGGCTTCCTCCTCCGGCTGCTGCTGCTGCTGATGGCCTGACTCCATCAAGATTGAGATCGGGCACACGCGGAAAGGGCGGCGATGGCACGACAATCTCCTTAACGAGCGTCGCCGCACTCCCAGGCACGGGGTCAGGATTCCGCGTACGCGCAGGCTGAATCACCTCCTCGCCGCCGCCGATCCTGCTGCCTTGCGCTCCTGGCGACGGGTGGCGTCTCTTCCTCTTCGGCGTCTTCTTCGGGGCCTTCGGTGGTGCCGGTCGAGGATACGACGAGGGAGGCCGCAACGGCTTTTCCTCCGGGAAGTCCTCCAACCTCTCCGCGCGCTGCGCAATGTAATCCGGGATGACGACCGCGTTGTACGTTCTCCGCGGGGCCGTCGCCGTCCGCAATCGTGGTTCGATCTCCTCCTCCTCGCTCGCGATCACTTGCGCAATGGAGAGGAGCTCAAGATGTATGAGCTCCAACAATCCCGGATCGATCGTCTGGAGCTGGGCGAATGGGTACAACGCCACCGTCCCTTCCTTCTCTGCTGGCTTGGGCCGTGTGATGACGTAGTAGACAACGAAGTGCTCCCTGATGCAGTGGTCTTCGTGATCCACAAAGAACCGGAACATCCTCAGCGCCACCGACTTGTACAGCGCACGGTGCAACTCCCGCGCGTCTTCGTCGGTGAAGGGCAGCGGCTCCACGTCAGTGAGCTCCACCAAATACTTCGAGAACTCGCGCATGGGATAAGGGCCCTCCGTGAGCTGATAGGGGAGGGTGTTGTAAGAGAAGAAGGGAGGCATTTAGTACGGGACAGGGGGAATAGGTTGGAAGTTGAGAGGAGCAGCGGGAGGAAGAAGCGCGGGGAGTTGTGGCACCAACGCAATTGGTCCGTCCTCTACCCTGCGCAGCAACACTTCGTGGGCTGTGAATCGGTGTCCCCCCCGTCCGTGCAATCTGGCCACTGATCTGGCCGCTTCCGCCGCGTATTCGCGCACAAAGCTTCGCGCCGACTCCCGATTCGGCTGCGGTAGGATCGTCAAGTCTCCGATAAAGGTGGCGACGCTGTGCACGAAGTTGGGTGCCACCTGGAGCGCGCGGAACTCAATGAATACTCGAGTCGTCTCCCGGCCAGGCAACTGCGTCACGTCCACGTACACCCCCGCATACGTCAGCCGATCGCAAAGCAACGAGTACGCCGCCAAATCAGCAACCCCGGGCGCTGGCACGTTCACCTGCTG